TTTTTTTTTTTTAAAGAAAACCCATAATTTTGAATGCAACTGCAAACCATTTAATTTGGACCCCATGCATTTAAAATCCCCTCAACTTTTCCTTCACACCTAGCTTAGCTATCCCCATTTTTGTTCTGCCAAAAGCTCACAATCACAAACAATCTAATAAACAGGGCCAAACTCTGTTTTGAGCTGTTTAAGGAAAGTAGTTCAAGTGTAGAAGAATAGGGAGCCAAAAAAAAGTTTCTTGTTTTGTGAAAGCAGTTAAAAAGTTAGCCCATTTCAAGTACACACACAAGAGTACGAAGTATATGCTTGAGATTTGTTCTTTTCTACTTTTGTTACCTTAAAAGTCAGATTCTTTTTGAAATGGAAATCGAGGCGGCGGGACGTGGCGGCGGATCGGGCGGTGATGTGGAGAGGGGACCACCGGTTAACAACGGCGAGGCCCGTTTGGTGTGGGAGGATTTGATGGTGGTGCTGCCCAATTTCGGGCAGGGCCCAACGAGGAAGCTGCTCCATGGGCTTCATGGGTTTGCTGAGCCGGGGCGGATCATGGCGATCATGGGCCCTTCGGGTTCTGGCAAATCCACCCTTCTCGACGCCTTAGCGGGTCATTCTCCTTTTCTTTTTTCCTCCCTCGTTAGAAAATATTGAATGTTTTCATTGTTATTGCATGGAGTATTGATTTGTTTATGTCATGGTTTGTTTGAATTTCTTGGCTCAAAAGAAAATATATTAATTGCTTCATTTTTACTGAAATCGATTCTACCGGGGCCTTTTTTACCGTTGGATCACCACACTTTCTGACGTGCATCCATATGGTTTTGCGTTGATCTAACGGTAAAAAAAAAACCTCGTGACGAGATAAGCACGAATTTTCCGTTTGTTGGGCAATTCAAAATTTGAACTTTTACGTTGTAGATAGATAATAATAAAGGGTAATGCTACAGTCCCGTTACGGAACCATTTCGTCAGGATTTGTAACCGCCAGATCATCATGTAACCGTCGTGGATAGTTGATCTAACGGTTACAAAGCTCGAGTGAATTGTTTCTAAATTTTTATTTCACACTTACTTAGAGAAAGTTAAACAGGTAGCCCTTTTCATCTAAATTTGTGGACCTAATAAAAGTGACCCCCTGACTGAGTCATATTCAGAGCAGAGAAAGAAGAGAATGGTTTAATTACATAAAAGTAGTTAGGGCCTGGGCAGTTGAGGATTAAATGAAAGACAAATGACCTTCCTTGAGTGGCTGCTAAAAGTCTTTGTTGTCCCACGTCGTCTATACAAGAGAAAATTGGCCTAACTTATAAGCCTAGTGGGCTACTCCTCCTACCACCAATTGGTTTTGGGATGGAACCTCACTTGGGCTTCATTTGAGCTTCCATGATTTGGTGCGCTTCGTCCGTGGGACCGCACCCGTCAACCCCCGTTTGTCATATCTGGATGCTAATTAATTAAAATAAATGATAGCAGCTAATGTAAGTAAATTAATATATTCATCATGTCATTCAATTTTTGCTATCCTTGTAAACTAGAAGTTACTGCATAATTGGGTGTGATTTTATCATATTGGTTAATTTTGTGGTGTCACTAGTCTCCCTGGCGGAAGCAGGTTAACATCATCACGTTCGAATTATTCGAGAAAGTTTACGTGCACGTAAGTTAGTCAACCTAAAATGTGGTGATGAACCGGAAGAGTCGAGCATGAAATGCTCGTCTAATGGGAAGAACTTGGCTTGCTTCACATCTTCGTTTCCATTTTTACGGCTAATTAACGAGTTGAATATGGCCACTCTCAGGTAGATTGTCGAGGAATATTGTCATGACCGGAAATATTCTTCTCAACGGGAAAAAGCGGTGCATGGATTATGGTGTGGTTGTAAGTACCTTATCTAATTAACATTGATTAAAGATTAATTTTAAAAATGAAAAATACAAAAATACAAAAATATCACATGTTTTGATCGTTTTTCAGGCTTACGTGACCCAAGAGGACGTACTATTGGGCACCCTCACAGTCCGAGAGACTCTTACATTCTCGGCGAAACTGAGGCTTCCATCATCCATGTCCATAGACGAGGTTAAAGGCGTTGTGGAAGGTACCATAATGGAAATGGGCCTTCAAGACTGTGCGGATCGGCAGATAGGAAACTGGCAGATGAGGGGCATAAGTGGCGGAGAAAAGAAAAGGCTGAGCATTGCACTTGAAATCCTCATCAGGCCCCGCCTGCTCTTTCTTGACGAGCCCACTAGCGGCCTAGATAGTGCTGCGGCCTTTTTCGTGATCCAGTCCATTAAAAACTTGGCCCGTGATGGGAGGACGGTGATCTCGTCCGTCCACCAGCCCAGCAGTGAGGTTTTTGCTCTGTTTGATGATCTTTATTTGCTATCAGGGGGGGAGACGGTTTACTTTGGTGAAGCTAAGATGGCAACTAAGGTATTTTATAGTCTGTTTTGTTGTAATTCTCAAAAAGACATTTTTACATGTACATGTTTCTATAATATGATTCTTGATTTTGATTGTTTTTGCAGTTTTTTGCAGAATCGGGATTCCCATGTCCGAGCAGGAGAAATCCTTCGGATCATTTCCTGCGGTGCATTAACTCGGATTTTGATATAGTGACAGCCACATTGAAAGGCTCGCAAAGGCTTCGCGTGAGTATCGATTATTTGCGAATTTATCGTTTTTGCGTAATTTGCCTTTTTCTTGCTTGGAGTTAGCTAATTGAGAGTTATGTATAGTAGTAATGCTGTCTAATTGGCTCAATATTTTGTGTGATGATTTTATTATGAAGAAAGCTTTACCTCCGTGCAATGTCTCTCGACTAATTGGTGCCGAATGGCATCTTAAAGATTAATATTTTTGTTCAAGCATACAAAACTATGAAGATCTAATTCGTCCTTTAACGACAGGAGACTGAAAAATCTTCTGATCCCTTGATGAATCTGGCAACAGCGGATATCAAATCAATCCTTGTCGAAAAATATAAGCAATCGACATACGCAAAAAGAGCGAAACTGAGATCAAGGGAAGTTTCCGCTAATGTAAGTAGATATAAACAAATTCAAACTATAGACCGAAGATATTTTGTAATTTTTAACAAAAAACATTAATATATGCATTTTCAGCAAGAACTGGAGCTTGAATCGGTAAAAGGAAGCCAAGCTAGGTGGTTGAAGCAGCTTTCGACACTGACACACAGATCATTCCTAAATATGTCGAGAGATGTGGGCTACTATTGGTCCCGAATAGTCATATACACCATTGTTGCTATATGTGTTGGGAGTTTATTTTACGATGTGGGCACGAGTTATACCGCCATATTAGCCAGGGGAGCTTGTGGCGGCTTTGTCACGGGCTTCATGACTTTTATGTCCATTGGTGGGTTTCCCTCATTCATTGAAGAAATGAAGGTAATTACCAATCACCCCACTTCACAAAAAGAAAATTAATTTAAATTAAACTACAATTTGAGCAATTTTGTTTTTGGTAAATAGGTGTTTTATAGGGAAAGGCTTAACGGTTACTATGGGGTGGCCGTGTTCATACTGTCGAACTTCTTGTCTTCCTTCCCCTTTTTGGTTGCTGTCTCGGTTGTGACCGGAACTATCACGTTTTACATGGTGAAATTTCGGTCGGGATTTTCGCATTACGCCTTCTTTTGCCTTAACCTTTTCGGGTGCATTGCTATGGTGGAGAGCGTGATGATGATTGTGGCTTCTTTGGTTCCTAATTTCTTGATGGGGATCATAGCTGGCGCTGGTGTTCTCGTAAGCAACTCTTTAAAAATGCTCTAACCATTTTTTTTTCTGTAAATATATTTTTGTGAATGCTTGTTTGATTTTGTGAATGGTTTCATTTGCACAAAAGGGGATTATGATGATGACAGCTGGCTTTTTCCGGTTGTTGCCGGATCTTCCCAAGCCCGTCTGGCGCTATCCGATTTCGTTCATTGGGTATGGTGCATGGTCTTTGCAGGTAATGCTTTTTCCCCTCTCAAGTCTTGTTAAAAATTATTTTATTTTGTTCTCTTCTTTTATTACAAATGTGGAAGAAATGATAATGCAGCTGATAAAGTTCATTGTTGTCTGTCTACTTGCCTAATCGTAATTGTCACGGTTTTTCTGTACTTACTGGTTTCAAAGGTTGTATCAAAGAGTATGTGCAGTTGTCGAATAGAAGTTTTCAGTCTTTGGGTGAAAAAAATAATAAAAATCATATTCAATATGTTTGTGAATGCCGATCGTGCTGAAAACACGTGAGGTGCTGCAAATGCTTGGGCACTCTATGAGACAAAAGAAAGCTAACATAGTCGACATGCAGGGAGGATACAAGAATGATTTGCTTGGGCTCGTTTTTGATCCTTTGTTCGCTGGTAACCCTAAAATAACGGGCGAATACGTACTAACGAAAATGTTTGGGATATCACTGGATCATTCCAAGTGGTGGGATTTACTCGCCGTGTATGTTCTCATCATAGCTTACAGACTCGTGTTCTTTCTTGTTCTCAAGTTAAAGGAGAGAGCTTCACCATTTTTACATTCGATTTATACAAAGAGAACCCTTTATCGCCTTAGTAAGAGGACACCCGTCCAAAGGGTGACGGGCCTCACTTCAAAGAGGTCACGAAATGCGCGCACACTGTCTTCACAAGAGGGTCTTGCTTCCCCTATTGTCTAAACAAAAAGAAAGAAAAAAAAAACCCTGTTTTTTAGCAGAGTTTTATGGAGTGGTTGATAACAATAATAATAGTGGTGCAACAAATTGTGTATGTGTTGTGTCATTTCTTTTGCTTTTTTAAAGAAAAACATAGAATCACTTGTAACTAATACCAAGCATATATATACATATTGTTTGTCGTTCACAGAGCTTTCGACATGTAAGTTCCCTTCGATTAATAAATTTAATCAAGTTCATACCAATACGCAAATCCGGATATTGGTCGAAAACTTACATTAGTAGTACCAACTGCCTGTTACACTATTCAATTGTGCTTAACGTGATACGATGAAAGTTCTCGTTGACTTAAGAAAAGCACAGAATGAAATAACATTGACCTTTAATGATTCAGTTGCATGCTTATCGATCTTAAGCAACATCTGTGATTAAAGCCAGCTGAGTTGACTGATTCTGGTTTGCTTATTTTGGATTAATGTCCTTATCTCGTTTTTTTTTTCTAATTTATTCGTAAAAAATGCAGGGAGCTTACAAGAATGACATGATCGGGATGGTTTTCGAGCCTCTAATCCCAGGCGACCCAAAAATCAAGGGAGAGGACGTGATCAAGAACGTCTTCCGAATATCGTTAGATCACTCCAAGTGGTGGGACCTGTTCGCACTCTTTGCTCTGATCGTGTGCTACAGATTCATCTTCTTCGTAATTCTAAAGGTGAAAGAGCGAACGTCCCCGTTTTTCCAGTCCCTTTACGCGAAGAGGGCCCTTCACCAGTTCAAAAAGCGGCCCTCGTTTAAGAAAAAGTTGTCACATAATGGCTCCTCAAAAAGGCACCATAATCTCCATCCCTTGTCTTCTCAGGATGGTCTGAATTCGCCAATTCCCTAAGGCGAAAAATTAAACCGCGAAATTTTATACGTTTTCTTTTATTCTTTCGTTCTGTCATTCGGCGCGACACTACTAATTTAATGATTTGTGGAGCAAAATTATAATGTAATAAAATGTGCTCTTTGAAGAAAAGGAAAAAGGGTAGCAGTTAGCACCCTCAAAGAGTTTATTCTTTCTTCTTTTTGGTTTGTTTTGTTTATCAACAAGGCAATAAAGAGAACTTGTTCATCGTTTTCTTGTCCAGAAATAAATCTCCATGCCGAGTTGAATGGAACTTGTTTCATGATTCTGGTGAAGGCTTTTGGTATGTATATTGAACTGTGGAAGATAGCCAATGCATGTATATTAATATATGGGGAAATGCTACGGTCCCACGGTTTCAACCTCCGTCGGAATGGTTTCGTAACGAGACTGTAGCATCTTCCTAATATACTGTTGGATATTTGGTGTCAAAATTACACGGGAATCCTACGAACTGATATGTATTTCCAGTTCTTACAAATAATCTAAAAAATAGAAAATTACAATTGAACTGAAAAATAAAATACAACTGAAAATGGAAAGATTTTATAGCCGAGGCGAGTAAAACTCTTTCCGCAAGAAGAATACGCCCCGTGTGGAAGCTAACGGTTCAGACGTAACTTCCCCAAAGATACAACGGCAAACGTCTCTAAATCTGTAGCACACCAGATTTACGAGCTCCGGCGAACTTTAACGGAGTTGAGAATTGAGCACTAAAAATAAAAAAGATATATCATAAAACAAATAAAAAATATCACTTGTTTCTTCTCTTTTGGTAATATTATGTCCGATATTTGGACATATATCTATCTTTTCTTTCCTTTCTCTTTTCCTTTCTTTCCTCTCTTTTCTCTTCTCAGTGTGTCTTTTCTCTTCTGTCGGGCCTTCTATTTATAGGTGAAATTGACAAGCAAAATGTAATGACTCCACATGCTTAAGATGCTCTCACATGTTACAGATCTCAATTTCAATTAATAAGTCTTTCACATGCTAGAAGATGCCTCCACATGATTAATCCTTCAATTACAATTATTAATGGCTCAAGTAGCACCAATAAACAAAAGTTGGGGCCCATTTACACTCATTTACAACAATCCCCCACATGAGTGTAAATTAATATGTATAGACTAGTGTGCTCAATACTCACAAAACTCTATTGCATCAGAAAAGGTAGCTTTTGGCTTTGAACCCTTTTTAGTAAACATCATCGGATGCACTCGCGGCCTAGTGGACATAATGCCTTGAACTATTCCTCCATAGTGTACACCAAGACAATGACATTCACACAATAGAGTCTTAACTCCGTTCCGTTCTATCGTTGTGTCCGTTTTGGCCATGGACAACACAATGGATTCATAAGTGTTTACATTTGAAGCGGCCCACACTTCACACTTATATAGGTGACCTCCCTATCAAGAGTATCCTGTCTTACTCCACCTTTACAAGGTTAGGGATTCACTAAAAGTCCATATGACTTACCCTCACCACAATCAACAGGTAATCTTGCACTTGGAGTGCTCTAGGGAATAGACTTGGACATTCATATGTTCCAAGTGCTCAACTGAATTTTCATAGCTT